TTAAAGGGAGAGGCTTGGGGATAGAATCATTATGCCACTCCTTTTTGCTAGAATAATCAAGAGCTAACTAATGAGTATTGCAGAAAATTATATTGTCATTGTTAGGTTTCTGAGGAAATGCACCACTGAGATGAATGGCAGCACTATGGATCTCAGGAGATATTTTTGCAGGGTTCTGCAGCTCAAGCAGAGAATTTTATCAGCTATATAGGGTTCACAGAGGAAAGCTCTTGTTTACAAATCTAAGAACTAGAATTTTATTCAGCTACATTTTTTTCAAGCGATTAAAGATTGGTTTCTGGAACAAAATAATGCAGCAGTAACTCAATTCTGCAGCATATTTCATGTGCCCAGAACACCAGAGTACTGCTCAATTTGCTGAAATGGAAAAAAAATGGTATACTTTCTGTAGCAGAAAACGAGCCTTCAGTGTCAGTGCCTGACAGACACCCCCACCCTGCCCAGCCCAAGCTCCAGTTTCGGCGGGACTGGGGTCATTAGTCCCTGTCCCACCACACTGCAGCAGTGGGGACACCAGACCTGCTTGGCCAACAGTCCCTGGCCCTGTCAATAGGCACTGACACCTCTGCATCTCCGCAGCCACTTGTAGCTTTCCCCGTTGGACCGTCGATAACTCTTGATCTCCGCTGCAGCCTTCGTTCTTGTGCTGATTCTGCTCTTGGGATGCGCCCATGACTATCAACATTGATAGGTCACAAAATCAAGAGGCCATGCTGAGTATCCCATCACCCGGCATACCACTAGGGAACAACCTGTGTGGATATCTAGCCCTACTGAAACAAATCAAAACCTCTCGAGCTCCAGAACCATTACACAGCTCTGGCTCTTGGACCGGCTGTGCTCTCAGTATGCATTGACCACTCTCAATCAACATCGCTACCTGTGACTGCCATCACTACTCTCTAACTTGACTACCTCTCCATAACCATCACTTACGAAGGCCTCTTCTTATCTATCCTTATCAACAGGCATCAACACTGATCATATTGATCCATTGATTGATAGGCATTGATACCTCTCCACAGCCATCTACAGCTTTACTGCTTGGACCATTGATAACTGTATTTTGACCAGCATCTATAGGCTGCGTTCTTGCATTCGTTCTGCTCTTGGTATGCCCTGACGACCACCAAAGTTGGCCATTCACAGCATTAAGAGGCCCTGCGGGACATCAATTACGAGATGCATTGCTAGGGAATGACATCTATTGATAACCATTCCTACCAATAGGTGCCAATACCTCTCCGCCTGCACAGGTACCACAGCTGCTGCCCTTGGACTGAGGTTGCTGAGTTTGGGAGGCATCAATGGCTGCCCTGGGTGTCCTGCTCTGTCACAGGGGTATGTTGGGTCCTGACAGCAAGGCCTGGCCCTGCCCCACCAGCAGCTCCAAAACCCCTGCTGCTCCTGTCATTCAGTTTAAGAAACTTGAAAAAAAATGCAGAAAAGAAAGGAAAAAAACAGAATGTTCAAATAATCAGGGGGGAAACAGCTGCCCTTAGCAAACATTAAGCACTCAAGCAAAGACTTCGAGCAATGTTTCTACAGAATGATTTATACATTTTTCTTCCAGCAGCAGCAGTTAGCATTTTGAAACAGATCTCAACATGAGGTCTTCCTTCAGGCCCCAGACCTGGAACAAATTCAGGTTCTACTTTCCTTTTCCTACTGTTAGGCTACCATGACAGGGGAGAAGCCCTCTCACAAACAGCCATTCTGGTGAGCGGAGTGGAGCTCCCACACATTTATCGTGTTTGTTGGGAAGTCTCACTCCACTTGTTGTGAACGTCACAGCACAACGCTAGAATTGCACTTAACTGACTGCTTTTGCCTATGTGTTTATGCCATCAGCAGACCAAGGTATTCCTTCTTTTTTTTTTTAGCCATAAATTGGCAATGTTTCCATAAAGATAAGTGTACATTAACAGCCCATGACTATTGCTACAGTAGGACAAAATCTTATTCTTTTTATGGCAGGAATGGGCAATGGCAATTAGCACTTCCCATCAGCTGCAGCAAAAATGAGGGAAAAGTTTGCCTATGCTTCAGAATTTCCTCTACTCCAGGGACTATTTTTTATCCTAACTGAAGAAGAAGAGCAACCTAGGAGCTTAGTGCAGTCAGACAGCTACAATTTCCACTGACACAATCTCAGGCCTAAGCTCAGTCATACGGATGGGCTCTGCAAAGGAGTCCCAGCAGTGCAGTTATAATCAACTGCGGAGAAAAATTAAGGCAAATCCCCCAAAGCAAAGATATTTCTGGATGAAACTGCTTCTCGAGACTTCTTTTAACCCTCCCAATAGAGAAACAGCTGCAGGAAGACAGGAATGTTTGGGGCAGCTTGACAGTTGCCAGCATGGCATGAGTGCCTGGGGCAACCCAGGAGCTGCCGGGTGCATCTACAGGGATCTTGTGCCCTCCACCATGGTGCGTGTAGCATGTGCCCATCCAGTCCCAAAGAGCAATTCAGAGTATGACAACACATCATCCAAAGAATCACCGGCCCAAAATAGACAAGGGACAATAACAGAGAGTGACAAGAAGAAAAACGTCACTTGGAGTTTTCCTTTTCTTGTCAGAATGAGAGCTGTTAATACTGACTCTCTGCTCGCAAAATATTCTCCTAGCATAGCAGGACAACTCTCTCATGGCTAACACATGAGCTTAGGGCTGAAATCTGCTTGTGTGATGTTCCATCACTGGAACATATCTGACCAAAATGGCTTTTGAAAAGCCCAGGTGAAACTGCTGCAGCATCTGCTATTAGGGCAGTTCTGTTGCATTAGGCTCCTTCTTCCCTGAAGGCTTCACTGTGCACACAGCTCAGTAGTGCACACAGAGGAAGGTGGCTGTGCATTTTAAAAACCAGCATCGCTTCTCTATTTACTTTTTAAATCACGGATTTTAAAGGGCTTAAAAAAAAGGTAAGCAACTATAAGGTTAAAAATTCACAGCAACATTCAAATGAACTAGGGGACAACATTGCATCAAAAGCCAAATAGACTGAAGTGCTGTTGTAAACATTTCCCAAGGGAAAAATCAGGCACAGGAAGATGAACTAGAATTACCTCAAAGCAGCATGGTAGGCCCACAGGGCCAGGAGCTGAGACCAAACATTCCAATTCCAAATCCAACACATCTGTTTACTAGATACTGTTTCCACCCCACCACAGTTCAACAAAAGCGCTGTAATGAGCTAAAACTGATAAGATTTTAAAGATCAGCAACAAAACAACCCCAAAAATGTAGTTGCAATTCAAGAGGCTGCTCAGAAAGCCTCTGCACGAGTAAGAAGGATGTTTCCCTTTCTATTCTACAAGTTTAATATGTAATAATATGCTTTACTGTCAAAACACTTAAATGCCAGGTTTCATTTCACTTGCAGTTGTGAAAAGACAGGATTCTTCCGTGAAACTTAGTGGTATTAAACCATACAGGGCTACACACAAGATCAGCAGTCAGGCAAAAAAGTTTCACATGAGTATACACCACATCTCTAGTACGGGCAGCATGTGGAGACTGGAAAGAATTGCCAAAATTCAAATATGTTTCCAAAACTACTGGAGTAAAAAAGAGGATTTGCCATGGCTGAGGAGGAGTCCTCAAAGAAATAAATGGAAGTCACTGTTTCAAGGTGCAATGAGTATACTGAAGGTGAGTAATATTTTATTTCTTTAAAATATATTTTAAAAACATACTGTGTAAAAGAATTAGGATTCTCAATAATTTATTATTTACATTAGCAAATCCTATTTGTTATCCTACAGATAGGAATTAAAAGTCTGCAGAAGGAAGGGAGCTGTACCAACTTCTTTAGGTCCAAGCAAAGCCCCAGTACAAAGAAATAAGTCCAAAATCCCTTCTTATTTCAATCCCTTCAAATTCATTTTTGCAATTATATCACAAAAAGCTCAATGAAAGGTCATGATGTTGAGCGTTGAGCACTTGCAATTAGAGCTGGGAGTTCAGAGCACTCAGCAAGAGAGACCCCCAGAAGAGATGTTGATGTTGCACTACTCAGTAGTAAAGATACTGCAGGGTCCAATCCTGCTTTTGTTTCCACTGGCCTAACTCCACTGAAATCAATGGAATTACATGACCATGAAGCCTGCATCCAGCCTGACAGGCATTTCTCAGGAAGCTAGACACACTCCTAGAACCAGATTGGCAAGGGGGAGAGTTTTTCCTACCACTGTAGATACACCGTAGCTTATCATTAATTTTCAGTCCAAATACATCATAAATCTCATTGGCTTCTTCCCCATTCTCTGGGGAGAAATACACATAGGGAATTCCTTCTTTGATGTAAAGAGCTGTAAGTACTATTCCCATTTTCTGATCCATGTGCCAGGCCTAAGCTCAGTCATACGGCTGGGCTCTGCAAAGCCATAGCCAGGTATCATAGCTTGCACCATTCATAGCAGGGCAGTTCAGCCTTCCCATCGGCTTTCCAGAACTCTGAAATCACTTGGGTACCCAAACGTTATGAACAGGCCATTGCAATGCCAGTTACTGTCTGCTTTACTATTTCAGGAAAAGCTGGTCATCTCTCCAGTGATTATGCAAGAGCCCATGACTAAAAGAAGTAAAGCAGTCAGTTCATGTGTTCTGTTTCCTGGAGGCACTCAATGGTGTTTCTGACACCTCGTGTAAGGCACCAGTCATCTGGTAGCTAGGGAAAAAGTGACCTGACAGGCCTGTGTTAAGAAACTGCAGAGGGAACTGATGAAATCCAGCTGTTTTGTTCCATCTTCTCACTTACGCAGCATAAAAAGCGTGGTTGCTACGTCCTGAGAAACATCTGGTGGCGTCCTAAAAGAAGAAGCCTCAGCTCGCACTGCAAGGTCAAGGAACACGGGTGACAGCAAACCACAGCACATGGTTCCTGGCTGTGTCGGAGTGGCAGCTGCAGTGGACCTTGAACAGACTTCCTTGAGCCCAGAGGCCACTGCTCTCTTGCTTTCAATTTTGAGTTTATTGTTGGCAGTGAAGCAGTTACTCCCTTACACGATGTCTCCTTAAAACACAGTGAAGTGCTGGACCACAAAACCACCGTTGGGGCATCCTTGCCGCAACTTCTCTCATCTTGGTCTAGCCTGTACAGCCTTATTCACACAGATGCAATGTGGGAGACAGCAGAGCCTATGGACAAAGAGGTCAGCTGGATGCTAGAGGACGAGGTCACTGGGAAACCTCAGTCCAGAATATCAGTTTCAAAAGGGACCAGGTGGTAGTACGTCAGATTGGTGACATAAGCTGTTGGATCATCACTGTCTTCCAGCTCTGAGGTAAAGTCGCTAACACTTTCAAACCTAAAGAGAAAACAAACAAGCAAAAAAGGCATTAAGTTCATTTTTTTTCATGTTAAGGTTCATGTTTCATTTTAAGGTTCATCTGCTGTATGGCAGACTAGGAAACCAAGTTTTTGATCTCTTTTATTAGTAGTCTTCAGTAATAGGAACTTCAGTGGTACTTCTCTAGTATGACTGTGACTGTTCACAGCACTTGTCATTATAAATGCCAGAACTTCATATTTCATGACACCTGGTTATCAGATTGTTTTGAAGATGACCTGTATCAAAACCATTATCAATTCACTTTCATTCTCTAAGGCTCTCTCTCCTCCTACTAATAAAAGAACAATTTCCTAGGGCACAGCTTCTTTTGTGCAGACAATACCTGGATACTTCTAAAAGATTTTTATGAACCTAGAGGAGCTTTCGCTGTGGTATATGAATAACTTCACAGAAAGTACTCGAAGTTGAACCCATCCAGCACACACCCAACCCATCCACCCACCCTCCACACACGTGTATATACATAAACGATAGGACCATGAGAACCATAGTGTACACCAACACATCATCTTGTCTTCTCTTTCAAAGTTACTAGTGATGAAGGAAGGCAGCCGTGAGCGAGCTATGGAAAAGTGAGTCACGCAGCTGAGGTCCACATTCTTCCATTTCATTCTCACAGTATTTGGCAGCAACACAAAATGCCTCCATTCCCAGACAAAAGCAGAACGGAAACTGCTTTTGTTTTGAGCCTGAACTCAGAACTGTCACCCTTTCACTTTATAGATACCTTCTCTGCATTTGGCTTTTGTACAAGGTCAAATGTTTAACACAATTGGGAAATGATGACTACAGTATCCTTCCTGCAGATCCTTGTTGTCCTCCCCATGGCATGAAATTTAGATTTTGACAACCAAAGTCTATCCAAATATAAAAAATACTCCCACATTTAATTCTACTTGTTTGAGTATTTTCCTCCCTACTTGCTAATTCTTGTGTTATAACCAGAATTTTTGCAAGGATTTCCCACTGTCTCACTCCCACATACAACCAGAAGGTATCAATTCATTAAAATCCACACTCTCCTCAGTAATACTGAGCAAAAAAAAAAATCCAGTTTCAAGAAGGTTTAATAGCAGACAGAGAGACGAAGATTTAAAACAATTTTATTTAAAACTGCATCTCACCTTCACAAAAACTAGTGAGACTCCTGCAGTAAGGAACTGAGGCCATCTTTCTCCACACCAGACAACCTCAAAAATCAGGTAGAAGCACTGCAAGTTACTGGAAAGCATGATCTATGCGTTCTGCAATGCATTGACACAGCTCTGTCTCTTTTTTGCAGTCCTGCTTTGTCCTTCTCGTTACAACTATTAGGACGACAGCACTTTTGAACAGAAATCCAAGGATTTTCTCCTGCAATGCTCTGGCCTGACTGTTTACTCCCCAAGTACCTGGACAGATTCCCTGTCCTTAATGAGGGCCTAGTTCCTGTGCTGTAGGAGACCTGCTCTTCCCCAGTTTCACTCTGATACTGAGAGTTACTACCTGTGTTTGCCAGAAAGAAGAAGAAAACAGGTACACAGATGTTAATGCTCTTCATGAGCACAACTCACAGGAGTAGCCCCCGAGTAAACACGGTGTGAGACAATACTGCATTGCCTCTCATCAGCCTACATAAGAGCAGTATTTGAGAAGGACTCCTTCCGTCTACAGCTAAGCTTAAAGAAGTCCCTCAGTAGTATTTTCTTTTCCTGTTAAGACGAGGATCTTGTTTTTCTGGAGACATTCTGTATCTAACCCCACCATTTCTGTTCTGCTCTTCCGCATCTCCATCCATGGAAGTTTCTCCTATAGAACACAAGATGCTTGTGACAAAGAAGCACTGCCCTGAAACTAAACACTACTAAACATTTAGTACTGGCGTGAATTAGCCAAAAAAAGCAACATGTCCAACTGCACAGCCTTTGCTGCCTGCTGCTGGCCGAGAAGGCAGAAGTGCAAACACTCCTGGGAGGGGGAAGGCACCTCCCTGTAACAAAACCAAAGCACAAATGAGAGTGCATTTTTTTAACCATCTTTCCTTTCAGAAGGCCTGAGGAGCACTAGAACCATTTGTAAAGGCCCTTTTCTGCCAGGCTGAGGTTGCGCACGCTGGTTTCACCACATTTTGCAAGAGCACAGTGCACTTTAGAACATCGACTTTAGAACCAAACAAAATGAGAGGCAAAATGAAGGCAACAGAAAGCAACTCTTTCAGGACAACAGAATAAGCATCTCCAATTTGTAAAAATGCTACAGCTTCTTTTGTGACAAGTATCAGACATTTCAGCTTACAGACTGCTCAGCAGATAGCACTGCAGAAATCCAACAGCTAGGCAGTGCAGCGAGGCTTTAGGGAAGGGAACGACACCTCCTGACGTTCCAAGTGATTCTCTCCAAAAAATACATGTTTGCTTTGCAAAAAGTCTGATTCAAGTACATGTGCAGCCAAAACCTACAAGTCATATGGAATTGAATGTTGCTGAAAGGAAAATGTTCCCAACTGAGAATATACAAGTCCACAAGGAATTAACTCTGCTTTCAGAATAGGAAACGCCAATCCAATAAATCCAGTTTTACAGAGACCAAAAAGGAACTGCATAAGATTGTGAAAGATTTAAAACTTCCTCTCTGGGCAGCTAACATACATTTAAAGCAACAATATAGATTTTTTTAGCTTTTTTAAAAAATCAATCTTTACAAATCAGCTGTTTTACACCAGCGCCCATTACTTCCCAGCTATGAAATACACCTTCAGGAAGAGCAAATACAGCGCACCATGTACAACAGACTTTTGGAATTAATAAATTACTTGATTGTCCCCTGAGTTTCCAATAGGAACACAGAAAGCCAGGCTGTACCCTGGCTGTGGTTTCTAGAAGATCATGCCTACCATACAGACTTTCACGGATTTACATATTCACATTTTCTGGCAGAACAACAATTGCATGACAGAAGTTTCAGATCCCCAACCAGTAAGTTTTGCTTGTGCCAGAGCAGTTTTTTTAAAATCAGGGCTATTGTTTGTTTTGTTTCTGAAACAATAAAAAGGAGAGAGGGGGAAGAAAAAAAAAAAGAAAGACCCGTATCCTTTTCCTTGGTAATCTGCTCCAGTGGCTTATTACTCTCAGCCCTAACACATGATAGATTATGAACTAATTCAACTTTACTTCCCAGAACTGGCGTTGTAGAAAGTTTTTCCAGTGTATGGCTACAGCCTTGTGTTAAACTGCCATTAGCAGGATCTAGGTTCACAACAAGATGTGATAAAACCCTGTTTCTTTAGGAAGTTAATAGAAAGACTTCAAGTCATTACAGTGGGGCCAGAGCTGTACTCCAGCCTCTGGCAAAGCCCTGTTAAATTCTAAGCCTTTCTGCAAACTGGTGAAGATCATATTTCAAATGTGGCAAGACAGAGCTTTATGTTCAAAGATCAAACTTCCAGGCGCTTTTATTGCCATTTCCATCATTTTGACTGCCCTCATGACACACTAGGTCAATGTTTCTCATTAAATTTGTGTAAATATTTAGTTAGTTGAACTGCACTGATAGTATTAAAGTGAAATATCAATCACCTGCAATGACAGAAATCTGTAGGAGCTGATTTCCATGAATACCCATTTGTCAACTTACTCACTGACTTAAGACCTACATAAAAGCCTTATTGGTTACAGGTCTCTGACCCTAGAGTTCCTATGGATAAAAGGAGGTAGAATTTACAAATACGGCTGACCTAACTTCCTCTTCCTTAATGTGATACATGTGCTTCCACATGCCACAGCACGTGGAAGCATCAGAGCAGCTGCCCAGCTTCCTTTGATTAAGTTCAGGCCTGTGTTCCCTCCTCAGCCTCTGAGGATGGTGTTTTGCTTCCCAAACAAATTATTTCCATCTTAGTTAAGACTTTCCATTTGTAAGGATGTTTCAGGTTTCCACACTTGGGTTCAAGTGAACGCTCATCACAATTGTGATGGAATCCCTCGAAGGTTAATTCTCACTTGGCAGGACCCCGAGGACAGCCACAGCTTTTTCTGTACAAATAGGACCACACTCCTTAGGGTCACTAATTCTCACTGCAGCAATTTCATCCATTTTAATAGAAAGAGCAATGAGGCCTTAGCAATTAGGCCCTTTAACCAGTCAGAAGGACCACTGTGCCAACCTTGCTCCTATATAGAGATCAATATTTTGCTTGGGAAAAAGAAAGCTATAATATATGTTAAGCTGATCAAATTAATCACGAAAGAAACTGTACTTACAAGTGTTCTGCTGAATCTACGTCCACGTGCTTTTCTTTGCCATTGGGTATACTGTGGTCAATGACTATTGTTTCAGTGTTTGCTAAACAAAATCCATTTGATCGCATGATTTCTGTGGAGAAAAGAAAGGAAAAGATTTAAATGTTGCCAGTCCGAAAAGTTCTGTAAGAAAAAAAAAAAAAAGTTGGACAAGAAGGGTATATCATATGTAAGTAACATGGTTATGAACAGTGATGTGCACATGATGCTGGAAATCTGTACAGGACTGCTAAAATGAAGAGTTGGGCACACACACTGGTTTCACAGCTATTTATATTTGCAACCTGCTGATCTGAAGCAATTTTATTTGCATCACCAACTAGTCATGAAGAGATTACATTATGGAACACTGAACGTATCTTGCCACTGAGGCAAAGTCCTGTTTCAGTTCCATTAATGCCATTGGCAAAATTCCTATCACTTTTAGCAGAATGGCAGCCTGTCCGTAAAGTTGCAATCTTTCACTTCTCTTAATTGTGTTTTTCCTAGATGGACTTCCCAGGCTTAAGCCGATTAAGCAATTACAGATACTTCTACTGATTTACTACCAAGGGGAGATTTTTTTGCCTAAAAATAGTATTTGGTGTGAATAAGAAGTTAATCCCACTCTGCATGACGAGAGGGCAAACAAGGCAAATGGCAAAGATTTCTTTTCATCACATAACCTCAGATGAATGCTACAGCCAGCACAAAATTATTATATTTCTCAATTTAAAGCAGCACTGACTTACTTAAATAAGTAGATTCATGGTTTAACTCAAAGTAAGAGGACTCTGTGTTATGTCCCTACATTATCAGCATAAGCAAAAGGAAACTATCCTGTGACAGCAAATATAGTAGGCACAAAAGATAAGTATGGGTAATCCCTAAAACCTTGCCCCAGGCAGACAAATTTCAACAATACAGTTCAAATAATGTGTGAGGAAGAGCAGAGAAGAAAGAAAGGAGGCAATTTTAACAGTACGTTTACATGTTCCTACATAAAGGTAAACATCAGAGTTCATTCTCATATTTCTCAAAAAAGAGATCTTTGACTTTCAATCTCTGTTATCTTATTGCAGGCCACTTTAACAGAGTATGTGTGGGGGTGGTAAAAACACCGAATCCCAGGAGAATCACACTCCATTCATGATTCATCCTGAGCCAACATCATTCACTCAGACCGGATTTACACCACTAATTCAAATGCAGCTTGCAGCTAAGAGAGGGGCCTCTTTCTCCCTTCCCCATCACCCATCACTCTGAGCAGGACCCTGGCAGGGACAATTTGTTGTTTTAGAGAGTACAAAAGAGTTTTTATTCTAATTATATTCTGTATATGCTATTATTCTGATTCTGCAGGCCACCTGGAAGGCTGCTCCATGCCCAACATGAATGCGACAGCGCTTTCCTAGTGTCCTTGGTATGACCTAGGAAGAAGAGTGTTTCTGTGCAATTTGAACTGCTCTAGGAGTTAACATTTACTGCCATCTACTGACGCCACTGCCAGACACTGAAGCAGTTGCCAGTGTGCAACATTCAGGTGAGGCAAACATCAATGGCCATCAATTGCAACCACTTAAATGATAAGGTGGTCTGTGCAGTTAGGAGAAAAAAAATCTTCCCCCAGTTAATGAGGTATGACTGGTCTATTAAATACAATTTGGGATAAAACAAAATGTTATTGTTCTGCTAGGATAGTTTCCACAGCTTCTCTATATACAGGCTGACTCGAGGGTTCTCTTTGCTGCTAGCCCCTACCTATCAGCTGGACACCCTCACACTGTTAATGGTGATTTTCTTCTATCTGCCACACCAACCATGCCATATATTCAGTCATGCACACACACACACAGTGCCTGCACGCTCCACAAAAATTAAATGAAACACTTCAACAACAAAAAGTCAAACCGGAACAATGCTGCGGTTTCTAACCAATGCAACTCCAAAGATATTCTTCTTGATATCTGCCTGCTGGCAAAAGGAGCAATGTATCAGGTGGCTGTAGCCATGCTTTTAAACACTTTTAAAAAACATTTAGTTTGAAGGCATTCATTTCATAACTGGCAGCCCCTGTTATCAGAGTAGCAACACTTTTCACATGGAAACCACTGCAGGCCCTCAAGGATCAGCACTGAGAGCACATCCTGGCATGCAGAAGCATGGCGAACAAACCATGTTCAGCCTTTGCCTTTAGAGGAATGATGCTAAGAACCTGCACGTGAGAAATGCTACCTGCAATTTCTACATCAACTCGGACAACTCGGACATCCTCCAAGCCTCTCTAGTCACAGATGGGGCAAGACCTTAAGACACACCGGTTATATCTTTAGCATGTAAGCATCCCAGCTGGCCATTAACCAATACACCTTTAGTACTTACGAAAACTGACCAGTATTTCTTCCTAGATGCTTTATGCACCTTGGAGGACAACATTGCCTTTCACTCTCTGAAATAACTCCACTTTGTTGACACAAAAACAGCCACCCCGAGGGACTGCAGAGACTGCAAGCTCTTAAAGAGTAGTCTGAACTTCCTTTTAGGCTCAGAGGAAACTTTTCAATAGAGAAATACAAAAATAGGCACATCAAAGGTCCACACACTCACTAGTAGTAGTGGATTCAGAGGGGAAAGACTAGAACAGCGCAAGCACAGTATAAAACTCCTCTCCAGTACACCCACCCGCCAGCAATCTGTGGCTTAGAAACTTCCTGAGCGTCCTCCTGCCACAGGACTCAATGCACATTTCTTCTATTTACTTGTCTAATTCCTTTTGAAGTCATTTCTACTTTTGTTCCCACAATATTCCGCTCCGCTACTTAACCGCTCTGTAGGATAACAAAACAGACTGTAACTTTTTTTGTTGTTTAATGTCTGTTGCCCGACAGTGTTAATGGATAACTTACAGTTCTTGTGTTTTGAGGTGTACAGAGCAATGGGCTCTTGCCTTTCAGTTTTATACACTTTCATCATACAGCCAACTCTGTCATCTCTTTTCAAAGCTGAACAGTCCTCTAATTTATCTTCTTCATAGAGAAGCTGCCCTTCACTTGAAGCCTTGTCCTTTATTTGCATTTTTTTTTTAATTCCGTTATATCCTTTCTGGGAAGGAGGAATCAGGATTGCACAATGTATTCAAGAGGGGGCAGGTGGTGCTCCTTTCTTCTTTTGTTCTCCTTTCCTTATAATGTCTAATATGCTAACTGCTGTTTATGATAGCTACTTAGAATTGAGCTTACATTTACATAAAACTGTATCAATATCCTCAGAATCTCTTTCCTGAGTGGTAACAGCACTATCATGTATAATTATAATGAGGATTGCATTTTCCCCATACCCACTTGTTTCAATTATCATCCTTGAATTTTACCTGCCCTTTTATTGCCTGAACATGTGCTGCATAGTTTGTTAAGAGAAAGAATGACAGAAACAAAAAGTAAAGCAATTATCATTACATAATCCTTGCGTTCATTGCTGGAAGCTAAGCACTCTTACCTGATATTTTAACTGGACTTTGAAAGCTTGGCTGAATTTTATGGACATTATCATTCTTTAGAACTTGATCCAAAGGAGATCTCTCAAAGAATGTGAGGACAACTTCAGATCTTGAATACTTAAAAAGAGACAAAGAAACAGACATCTGTTTTTAACCAACAGTTTTCTTTGTTCATTTCTTCCTTTCCAACTCTTCTTACTAGGATAGAAAGACTACTACAAGCAATTGTACAGACCTATAGTATGTAATGCAATGGACCTGGCACCCAGCACTTCTCCAAGATATTCAGTACATTGCTGCTTCTCTCAGAGTCTGGTAAAGCCCATTGCTTTCTAATCTGCACAAGAGTGCATTTCACCACCCAGGAGGAGTCAGAATCTGGGCTCAAGGCTGAGCTGGGTATACTCACCTTCCACGGCATGTTTATAATGGTCTTCAGAAGCTTTTCCACTTCATTAAGTCTAGCCTCTATATCATGGGCTTCCTTTATTGTGATGAGTCCTAGAAACAAAGTAAAAAGATCATGAGCAAAGAAAAAAACCACACTTTCATATGCACATACACAGCAGCAGCCAGAAGCAGCTTCTCAAGAAGACATGGCATGACCTGGAATATCATGCATCCCAGAAACAAACCTTTCAACCCATCCTAATGATAAAACATGTACCCAAATCCAAGATGGGTGTACCAGCCTAGATGCAGGTCTGACAGACTCATCTGTTTGTGATAGTATTTAGGAGCTGCAAGACAAGCAGAAGTGGAACCACCTACTCCCTCATCCACAGCTGCACTACACAGCATTCCCAGCGATGATCATCAAACTGTCTGTTTTCTGCTTCCCAAAGCCATGATTCATCCATTTGCTGTCAGTAAAAGCCAAAAAACAACCCCCCAAAACACAACCCACAGATAAGATGAAAAGATTAAACATTAGCTAAACAAAAGGCTTCAAGGATCTTGTATTTCTCTAAATGTAAATCCCAGTGGGTTTACATTCCAAAAAATCATCCCAAAGGATGATTTCTCAGCACCATGTTCTCCAAGAGCAAAGTAAAATTTGAGGGGTTTGTTTGTTTTTTTTTTTAAATCACAGATTTATCACAGAGCTGTAGAAGGGATTATAATGGAAATTTTGCAGGATGATGCAGTATGTTTCTAATTTTGAAGAGCTCAATACGAGGAACCTCTATTGTAATACTATATTTCATATGTATAATATGCAGGAAATCTGTGACTTCACTCTCCTCTAAGAGATTTAAGAGGATGTAATACAGGCTATATGCACATACAGGTAATATAAGGAGAACCTAGCCCAAAGCCTCCTGTCTCTCTAGTGTCCTTCTATTTGCCTCTACATTTGTGTGGCTTTTCCAAGTAACAGCACACAGACATGAAAATTTAACAAACTTCATGACTGGGAAAAAAAAGAAAAGAAAGACAAAGAAAAAAAACAAAGAGAAATCCAAAGAACTGGAGAAGATAAAGATCCAATAAATAAAAATTGTCTAAATAAACATCAAAACTAAAATTTACAAAGGAGTCTCTGAGAAACCACTTCAATATACAAAATTTGTAAATGCTGAACTCTTCTCAGAGGGTTTCTTTAAGGAGATGCACCAGTATCTCCCTGCATAAAAGGTGAAAGTACACCTGTAGAATACACAAAAGGTGAGTGACAAAAAAATCACAAAATATTTCAGTCTCCACAAATCCTTGTTGTTTGCTACTTGTGTGACATGAACACATACAAACTTTCCAGACCAAGATGTGACTTCTAAGCTGTCAGCCTTAGCTCTGATTATGGCCTTAAATAAAAGCAGAGATTGTCTCCAGAGCAACCAGGTTTATTTCGTGTTGTCCCACACAGAAATAGTCTTGCTGTTCAGGCTTTTCTATGAGTCCCACATTTTGCCTTCTTTTGCTGGCTTTGCTACCACTTCTTCCTCTCACACTGCTTTTCTGACAGGAGACAAGAGCACTCACAAAGGCATATATGCAATGTAGCCAGGTGTACTTTTTTGCCTGATGTACGCTGTAGTTGAGAAGATTTGCGAAGAAATTTTCTGGGATTGTAAGAGCCAGCTAATGCAGACTGTACTAGCTGGGTTTTGCCTTGGCACTACAGACCTGAATCACAGCGTGGTGCCCTTCATCTTCCTAACTGCTGGGTGTGAGTGTGAGTAGGCCTAGGTGGGACTGCTTCACCCCTCTGCAAATATGTTCCCTTCCCACATCAGAATGAACTTCAAGCCTCTCTACGAAGTGTTTCCATCTTCCCAGAAAAAAGCTGCCAAATTCCTCACAGTTCAGGCACCCGCCTATGATGTTAGAAACACACTGTTGCTCTGCTGCAGCTCACGTCAGAGGTGTCTGAGCTAACCACCATGGTGCCAGCTACTGCAGGGTGTCCCTGCTTCTCCTGCTGCACAAATCCTGAAATATTCAGAGCAGAGACTACTGGACTGTGTCCCATGCTCCAGACAAACACCCTCACCACTGACCTACCAGGAATGTGGCACTAAACTGTTCTCTCTCAAATCCACCCTGGAGCTCAGACCCTTTCCCAAATTAACATGTGTTGTTGATACTAGTATTTTGCAAGAAGGAGGGGTATTTTCAACCAAACAAACAAATTCAGAGCAGCAAGGAAAAAGGCCAGAAAAAGCCTTCATCTCCTCAAAAAAAAGAGCATTCACACTATGAAAAAATCGCCAGGCAGTTAAGGTTTTTTCTCATTAGCAATCAGGGAAAGCATCTGCAGCTCCACACATCCTTTCCATATTTCAGCAAGAGAAAGCCAGAGAAGATCATGAACCTGTGACACTTCCACAGATCACCCAGTAGGAGGTTTTATAGCTTCATGTATTAACCAGGAATTTCCACTCCTCAATATTGCTCTTTCTAGCTCTTGGAAAAGAACCAGCCATGCAAACCCTCACTCCTGTTTGGAAATTGGCACAGAAAACGTGTAACATCTGACACATTAAGAACTTTAGTAACATAAGGAAAAAGAAAGAAAGAAAGAAAAAAGCAGACAGTGTAGGAAGAAGAGTAAATGATATATCTGCCTGGACAAATTTCCATGTGCATGTTTAATGATTACAGAAGCACAGCTTTGGGTCGTAAAAAGATGATGACCTTACACTACTCGTCACAGGGAATTCAATTTGGTTGGGTTAAGGCCTTCCTCTTCATATTTCTAACAATCCACATAGATGGAAACCACTTGATTGGCTATATATATATCTATATGTGGATACACGTATGTATGTAAGCCCTGTAATTTCTTCCACAAGAGCTACAAAGTTTGTAAGGAAGGTCCTTATTTATCATCATTTAAGAGTCTCTAAGAGTTAGCAGATGCCCTTGTGGTTTCCAGTTAGTCACAGGCTGTGATCCAGCCACTCGTGGACTGCTCACAACCCGGCCCATGCATGACACTGCGGGCCTACGAAGCCAGGCGCTGCGAAGGCCCTTGGCCCCTCATTTCCCTCTCCTTCAGAGCTTGCTGACTGCTTGCTGTTATCAACCACAACACAGACGTTCAGAAGTAACGTTGCGGTTTCACAGAGCAAAGTCTCCAGTGGCCGCACTGGTTTCAGGTGCTCTCACCCTCCCCTGTTGCTCATTTCCTCTCATGCACCACCACACACCACTCCCGCTGTTTTGCCAGCATAATTAGTTGAGCAATGGGGAATGCCTCAAACCAGTGTTGTCAAATATCTTACCTCAGAAAGCCCTAGCCTTAGCAGGGGAAGCAACACTGCAGGCTAGGACGCCTGCTTCAAACTCCTTTCTCGCCCAGGCACTAGAATCACGCCCAAGCTTTCCATCTCTATTACCCATGCTTTCTAACAGCTTACTCATACTCGTGAGGGGGACTACCCTTCATAGGGGTGTCTCTGCCACCTCTCTCTATTTCTTCTTCTTCTGTCTTCTTAGAGAAGCCTTAATGAGGTGGGAAAAAAAAAAAGAAAAAAAAATCAGGCATGTGCAGGATCTCCTGACACTGCATCACCTGGACAAATAGCTGTGACACACGTGCCAGCTGACTCTGTAGATAAGCAGCCCATCACTTCCACAATCCATAAATCCTGACACAACAACACAACAAGCTGGATCTATCCCGAGTGCCCTGGCCACACGCGTAGCATTTGTATAGCAGGCACGACGGGTCCTGAAGCCTCTCCTGTCTTTCTGTAGGAACTTGTAGACCTCGGGAACCCTTATTCTGCCAGTTGGTTCTAAAAGTAAAGACACAAATAAAACAACTAGTAGCAGGAGCCAGCTGCACCTTCTCCCACGTGTTCAGTCCTGCAACAGCGCTGAGCGCAGAGCTGGGAAATCTCTTAGTGAGATCATGGTGAAACACTGTTCTCATGCCTTTTCCTCTGCCCTGGCTGCTGTCTGACTGCTAATTGAAAACATGTGCAAATTCCTCCCAGGAAAACTTTGCTCTCTGTCTTGTTACACATACTGTGCTCGGACAATTAACCATCATTTCAAGTAATTTAAATGCTATAAACACCTATGTTTATAGGGCTTGAGGTAAACTGGAGCCCCTCTGGCTCTGTCTTTACCACAAGACCTTTTGCCAAACACCACAGACGTCTAAGATTTCCTCACTCTGAGCACAAGGGAGACGACGCGCTGGGTCATGGGAGGGAGCGCATAGGCGTACTGTGGCAATGGGGGTGGTGCTTGCCTGTATCAGGAATATTTGCTTTCAGCGGGCTTCTGCTGTGCTCACAACTCCCCATAGCCAAGGAGCTAATTTTAAGAAAGAAGGAGAAAATCCCTTTGACTTTTCAGTCCTTTTCCTGCCTGAGAGCCTCGGGTAGATTTCTTCAGGCTGCATGAATAGGATTTGCCCACATAGTTAGCAACTATACACATAGCAACACATCTCTGGAAAAACACAGCACAAACAGCAATACAGGCCTGCAGAGTCCTTCCTGCTATGGGACCCCAGTGCCAGGGTCAGCTGCAGGAGAACCGAAGATCAGGCAGCCAGCTGTGTAGCTGGCAGGCTGGGTCATGGCGTGGGAGAGAGGCCCAGGGCTCAAAACGAGCAAGAAACAAGCTCAGCAGAGGAGGAGAATGAGCTAGGAGCCAACTGTTGATGTCAACACACAAGCCTTGATAGGCTTGTAATATTACTGAGCCACCAAATCTGTAATAAATCACCATTTGGCAATGACATGCTTTGACGCTGTATTTTTTTACTAAATGAAGGGGGACAGGAAATGTAGTGCATGCTCCATGGCTTGTAATGAAATCACAGTGCAATTTTGACGACTGATGTCTATGATGAGCAAATTGTCTCAATAATCCTCTAGTGTCCTTCAAGGAAGAGTGAGTTCATGCCTAAGTCAAGTACATCTCACACACCATCTCTAGGTGATGACACAGAGGAGTCTGTTTTACTAGTGCTGCGTTGCTATGTGTAAGTTGTTAGGTACACATGACCTCAAACTGCGGGCAAGCCCTACTCCTTCAGT